GGGCTCTGTGGTACTTACTGGCATTTTATGCTATGGGTTTCTATTCAATTATCTGTCTCTTTTGCTGTCTGTCTGTCTGTCTGTCTGTCTGTCTGTTTATCTTTGTGTTCACTAGGCTTTTAGGGGTCTTTCTCTCTAAGAACACTGGAATTGCAACCGTGGTCAAAGCCAGGCAATTCCTGGCCGCACTCGGGTGAATAAAGTATGGGAAGACTTAGTGATAGTCTTTGATCACTTTGTTAAAAAAAAAAAAAAAAAAAAAAGTGGAAGTTTCCCCACACCAGCATCCTGAAGCACACAGTCCTGGTGCAGTCACTCAGCCATTTCATAGCTGTTCTGCTCAGGGCGAAGTGTCCTGAGGCCTACAATAGACATAAAGCACACTTCAGGCTGATGTACTAGAGTGTGGGGTCAAAACGCTTTCTACAGCCTTCAGACAAAAGCAGAGTCACACAAACATTCACAGGGTAGACCAGATAGACACAGGTAGGCCCAGATCGTTAGGACCTAAATTTAGGGAAGGAAAGTACACATTGTCTTTAAGCAAGTATGGTAGATGGTAAAGTACAAATCCCTCAGTCTGGACACCCACTGGCGCCCCCGCTGGAAGACTTAGGGCAGCCAGGTATTTTCTTAGCTTTAAGCAGCACCATGGGTCTGTCTCCCAGGGATCTGTCTCCCAGGGCTGTGAGGATTAAAGCAGCCTATTTGGAAGCAGACTATTAACTCTTTCCTTTGCTGATGGCTACTGCTATTACTGCCTCTAATAATAATAGACCCATAACAGGCCCTGACGGGAGGCTTACAGAAGCAGAGGCAGGAAGCTGGGCTGTCTTTCATTTTGAGACTGGGATCCTAGTAAAGAATCTTGGGGTCACCAGCCTGTCCCTCGGTATTGTAGTTCAAGGACAACCTCAGGCGGCCAAATCCTTGCTCTAAGCTCTGTCAGGCACTGATTTTGAGGGGCTTCTGCATTTGTGTCCGTGAAAGACGGAAGAATTAGTAATGGAAAAACAGATGTCAGCAGGCCGAGAACCGGCAGTCAGGGCTGACCCGAGTCTCACAGGGCCTTCTGTGTCTCCAGTCTAATTGACTCCCTAGTTATTTCTTGAGGCCTTCTCCTCCTCCCTCCTTCCCTCCCTCCCTCCCCTACCCCTCCCTCCTTCTCCCTCCCTCTCTCACTCCTCTCCTCCCCTCTTCTCTTTCCCTTCTCTCCTATAGCTTTCAAAATCAAATTTTATTATATTTGTGTGTGTGTGTGTGAGACAGAGAGAGAGAGACAGATGGACAGAGACAGACAGACAGACAGACAGACAGGCAGGCAGAGGGGGTGCAGAGTGCACATGCATGGTACATATGAAGGTCAAAACACAACTTTCAGGAAACAAGTTTCTCCTTCCATTGTGGATCCGGGTATCGAACCCGGGCCCTCAGGTTTGTGCAGCAAACACTGTTAACTGCTGGCGCCAAATTTAAAAATTGTAATTAACATAAAACATGTACATATATATGAGGTACAGAGCAATACTATTTAAACACACAACGGATGCTCACATAGGGGTGATCAGCATGTCCGTGTCATACACCAATTGTTCTCTGTGCTGGAAACCTTTAAGCTCCTCTCCGTGAGCATGCATAGCAATTCTTTGCAGTCAGTAGTCACCCCTGGTGCTATGAAACGCTGTGGTTACTCCCTCCTCCCTGACCTTATGCCCCGACCTCCCCAAATCCAAACTCTCTCCATCCCTCCTCTGTCCCTTCCTCCCTCTCCCCTCCCCTGTCCTTCCTTCCTCTCCCCTCCCCGGTCCTTCCCTGCCGCTAGTGGGCAGGACTCACTTGGAGGCCCTTGTGTGGTCTGTTAGTGTGGGGTAGGGAGAAGGAACCAGCTTTGGGCTCTTTTGTTTTAGCAGTGTTGTCTATCTAGCTTTGTGTGAGGTCACTGGTGTGACTGTTCAGTCATCACAGAGCCAAGCCCTGTGACTCTGGGTCTTAGATTTTCTCCTGTTTCTTGTTTTTGTTTGTTTGTTTGTTTGTTGCCTTCTCTTTGCATTTATAAATAATAAGACTAGAGTTTTGGGGGACAAAGGTTCAGGTTCCAGCAATGCAAGTCTTGGTCACCCACTCATGATGTACCTGTTAAAGAGACAGCGGTCAGAAGTGGAAGTGAGCTGGTCTGTCGGCTACACTTGAGAGACAAGGAGCTCAGTGTCTAATGACCCCAAGGCCATCTTTGGGAACACTGATATGAATTTTAGGTTTAAACAGAGAAAGAAAGTCCCCTTTGCTGTTGCTGCTGAGGGGAGTCTGGTTCTAAGATAATGACCTAAGCCCCAGGATGTATCCTCAGCACTCTGGGTAATTCCCTTCACCTGGTGCCTTGTGACACGCTCTGTTGCTGGAATTCAAGGTGGCTGGAGATTTAGGACAATTAGTTACTTCTGTGCCTTCATCCTTGGGAGAACATCGGTTAGGCTGGACAGACGCTTTTTGAGTGATTAACATGCACGTGGGGTAAGCAGGTGACCTCCAGTAACGAAGCCAGACTCGGGTAAAGGCAGAAACGCCAGCCTCGCTCACCTTCTGGGCCCAGGTGAAGACAACACAGTTGATCAAAAGCAGCTTCTAAACCCTGCTCGGGCCACATGTGTGCGCCCGTTGCAGACACTGCATGGGACTCAGCTGAGACCTTCCTCTCTCCTGTTCTGCTGAGGATCCTTAATTATTGCCGCATGGTTTTAGAGTTCCAGGGACTCTGCTGATGCCCAAATTTAGGGTAATTACTCAGCCTGTGCAAAAGCAATTCCCGGCATGAGTGGCTACTAACTTTGTTATGTTGTTCTAGTATTGCACAAGCTCTTAGTCATTTTAGTAAAGGGCTTTCATTCGAGGGTTTGTCTTAGGTTTCTGTCGCTGTGATAAAACACAGTGACTGAAAGAATTGGGGGAGAAAACAGTTTATTTCATCTCAGGTTTCACATTACAGTCTGTTTTAGTTAGGGTTTCCCTTGCTGTGAAAAGACACCATGACCACAGCAACTCTTATAAAGGACAACATTTAATCGGGGCTGGCTTACAGATTCAGAGGATAAGTTCATTATCATCATGGTGGGAAGCACGGCAGTGTGCAGGCAGTGTGCAGGCAGTGTGCAGGCAGTGTGCAGGCAGTGTGCAGGCAGTGTGCAGGCAGTGTGCAGGCAGTGTTCAGGCAGCCGTGGTGCTGGAGGAGCTGAGAGCTCTACATCTTGATCCAAGGGCAGCAGAAGGGAACAACTGGGTGTCACACTGGGTGGAGCTTGAGCCTAGGAGACCTCCAAACCCACCCCACAGTGACACACTTCCCCCCAAGGCCACATCTCCCAATAGTGACACTCCCTATGGGCCAAGCATTCAAACACATGGATATATGGGGGGAATTTCTATTCAAACCACCCACAGGTTGTCACAGAGGGAAGTCAGGGCAGGAACTGATGCAGAAGAGGCATGTAGGTCACTTATTTGCTCCTGAGGGCTTGCTCAGCCTGCTTTCTTATAGCACCTGACCACCTGCCCACAGGGGTTTGGACCCTCCCACATCGGCCATCACTCAAGAAAATGCCCTACAGGCTTGCCTATAGGCTAATCTGGTGGGAAATTTTCTCAGTGGAGGTTCCCTCTTCCAAAATGACTCTAGCTTGTGTCAGGTTGACATAAAAACTAGCTAGCACAGGGTTCAGAAATGTGTTATTTTTCAGTTAGAAAAGTGAGGGGGATGGAGAGATGGCTCAGTGGTTAAGAGCACTGACTGCTCTTCCAGAGTTCCCGAGTTCAATTCCCAGCAACCACATGGTGGTTTACAACCATCTGTAATGGGGATCTGAAGCCCTCTTCTGGTGTGTCTGAAGAGAGCAATGATGTACTCATGTACATAAAATAAATAATTTTAAAAAATGAGCGGAAAACCTATCGAACCAATGGTGTATCTTTGATTCTGAGATAAGCAGCCGAGGCATGCTTTAAAACCCTAGGATCTTGGAAAGAAAGGAGGGGTAGGAGGCACCATGGCAGGGTTCAGGCAGAGAAACAAAAGACTCTGGTCTTTTTTTTTTTTTTCTTGGTTTTTCGAGACAGGGTTTCCTCTGTGTAGCCCTGGCTGTCTTGGAACTCACTCTGTAGACCAGGCTGGCCTCGAACTCAGAAATCTGCCTGCCTCTGCCTCCCAAGTGCTGGGATTAAAGGCGTGTGCCACCACCACCCGGCAACTCTGGTCTTTTAAAAACAGAAGGATCTTGTGACAGAGGTATGGGAAAGGCTGGAGAAATGAAAAGTGTCCTGTCATCAGAAGGAGTGAACACTAGAAGCTGCCCTCATCTGGAAGTCTGAAGGGAGTGTACATTGCTAGGATCCAATGATACTGCCTGAGCTGGTAGGGGCCCAACCTGCCAAGCCAAAACCTGCTATTGCTTCAAACTGCCTCCCTCCCGGTCACATGATCTCACCTGCAAAGGGGCTGGGAATTTGGTGAACAGTTAGCTACATATGGATGTAACAACTCCTACTTCTAAGAGAAAATAGGGATCCTTTAGAGTCATTCCTCCTAGGTGTGTGTGTGTGTGTGTGTGTATGTCTATGTGTGTGTGTGTGTGTGTCTGTGTGTGTAGAGCACGCACTGGAGACAGGATCTCTCACTGAGCTGAAACTGTTGTGGCTATGCTAGCTGGCCAATGAGTTCCTGGCATCTCCCTGTCTCTGCCCCACAAAGCTGGGATTTCACTGTTGTGCAGCCACACACAGCTTTCCCTGAGCACTGGGGATTTGATCTCAGGTCCTTATGAGTGCATAAAAAATACTCTTAGCTGTTGAACCATCTTCCCAGTCCCAAGGTGGAAGTTTCTGTTTTGGGGCTTTTGTTGGTTGGTTGTTGTTTTGTTTTCTAAGTTCAGTCTCCTCTCTTTTCCTCCTCCTCCTCCTCTGTCTCCTTCCTCCTCCTGCTGGCTGTTCATCTGACTTCATGATCTTCACAGGGCATCCTGGCCCAGCCCCAGCCCTGGTGGAAGATCCAGCTGTTCATGTGGGAGCCGGTGCTGTTTGGGACCTGGGATGGTGTGTTCACATCCTGCATGATCAACATTTTCGGGGTTGTCCTTTTCTTGAGGACCGGCTGGCTGGTGGTGAGTGAGCTGGTGACCCTGGAGCTGCTGGTGGGCCTGTGACAGGGAAAAGCTTCTTGGATACCACAGTTTAGGGAATAGATTCCTGAAGCACAGATTCTGAAACAAAGCAGCAAGTACAGGGCATAGCCGGCATTGCTTTTAGAACGGGAATACGGGGCGCCTGGGCCTCAGAGGTTCCCAGTGAGAGCCGTGGGATGGATCTGACTATATGGGGTCAGGGCTCATTGTGGGTGGGACTAGAGTTAGGGCAGGATCAGACAGATGGTGATTTTTACTCTAGTTTGTGACCCTTCTGGACTTCCTGGTGTGCCACGTCATTTTGTGCTCCTATGAAGCACCAGCTCCCCGTGCACACTCACTCTGGCCTTACACACTGCCCCTGGCCTTGTTCATAGGGCCGCATGGTTGGAGAATCAAGCCCCTGCCTCTCAGGATTCATTGCCCAGGACAGACCGTCTTGTACTAGATCCTGACGGTTAGTTCATCTTTAGCACAGGGAACAAAGGGTCTCTGCTTTACACCTTGTGCAAAAATACCCTAGAGCAAGGCTCCCAGACCTGTCCTACTGTGTGTGCCTTCTCAGACAGTGAACTTCAATAGACTGACTGAGCAGGCTGAGTAGAATCACCCAGTTAAGACTTAAACACTAGCAAATGCCTACTGTGTGCAGCCGCTAATGCTGCCAATGGGGTTGTAAAACACTAGCCTTTGTTCCTCTGTGGGTGCAGTCTCACACTGAGAGATCTCAAAAGCATTAAGCTCCCCAGTGAATGCAAGGTGTCTGGGAAAGCTGCTTGCAAGAGGCTTAAGGCTGATTGGGTTGGATAGATGAAAGAAGAGAGTCGTTCAGGGGGAATACTGTCCTCGAATAGCCAATGCCATGGGAGACACGCGCATTGGATGCATCATCGGGTTACGGCTCCAGGCATTCTGTTGCAATCTAGATGCAGAATGTCCCCTTTGGGAAGCCTCAGGCTTTGATCTTTTTGTTGTTTTATTGTGAAGTTGTCCATGTCAGTCTTGGCTCTTTGGGCTCTGCTGTGTTCAGGGATGGTTAAGGAACAGTAGAAGGAAAAACGTTAGCTCTATGTTAATTCTTTATTTATTTCATTTTTAAGAAATGGCTATTTAGCCAGTGATGGTGGCGCACACCTTTGATCCCAGCACTTGGGAGGCAGAGGCAGCTGGATGTCTGATCTCAAGGCCAGCCTGGTCTACAGAGTGAGTTCCAGGACAGCCAGTTTTGCACAGAAAAACTCTGTCGTGAAAAAACAAAAACCAACCAACTAAACAACAACAATAAAACCAAGAAAGGGCTATCTAAAATTAGTTCCCTCCCCAAAATGAAGGTGTAAGTTGTATTCACTGTTTATTGTTATGTGACCGATTGCCCCAACACTAACCGCTTATAGCGGTTTATGTGTGCTCTGTGCTCTGTGGTTCCGAGGTCCATGTGCTCCAGGACCCTGTGAGACTGCACTTGTCAGTCAGGCCACCAGGCACATGTGAATGATCTACTGAATCACCCAAGTACCACGTGGCAGGCCTTGGCCACATCACGTGGTTCCCCATGGGATTGTCTCTTTCTGAGGCTGCAGACTTTCATTAAGACCACAGACAGAATAAGAGAGAGCTCCTCTCCTCGGCAGCCATTGTCTCTTCAACGTCCTAGCCTCTGAAATGATGTCCCAGCACTTCTGCAGTACATTAAAAGTGGGTCAGTACATGATAAAGTACAGTCTAACCGGAAACTCTGTGTGCGTGTTTAGTCAAACATTGTTACATAAATCCCAACTAATGTGATCATTGGACTGATATAAATTTTTTTTACCTACTTTAAAAAACAAAGCAAGTCACGTCACAGAGCCAGAGACCACACAGAACACCGAAGGGTGGCACCAAGTGCCATCTTGGGCTTGTCTGTCCTTTTGCCCTAAAATAACCTCTGTCTTTTATGTTTGCCATTGGAATCACTTGAATATTTGATGATGAAAAGAAAAAGACAAATATGAAATGTCAGAAATGAGACAAAACATCCAGGGAGTTGTATGAAATTGAAATCGATATAAGCATTTCTTAAGTAGGAAATATTAACACTAAAACAACTCGGAGTCATAGTTTATAAACTGTTAAAGGAACATTTCCCCTCTGAAGACCCAAGGCTGCTTTTGGAATGGGATATTTATATTCACATGCAGACAGCTTTCAAGTACGAACAAAAGAAGAATGTATTCTGTAGGATTTCAGTGAAAGTGTAATATTAGCAAAGTCAGTAGTTAGAACGCTCAGATGTCATGCTCAAGGGCATGCATCCTGGGGACACCAGCGTCCTGAGGAGCTAGGGCTGTGCCATGGGAGGAGTAGAGGGAGCCACACGGGTACTTGCCTATTCTTGCAGCCCTTCTCTATCCTTGGTCTCACCATGACCATCTAGCAGGTCACCATGCCCAGGAGTTCAGCAGCATCCTTTGCCATCTGTCTTTGCACAGATCCCCACGTGGCCACATGGCTGTTGGCATTCTGTTTCCAAAGGGAACTGACAGCTGTCCTTATGAACCAGTCCAGGCTCTGAGCAGATTCAGAGGGTGCAGTCTTTATGAGCTGTGTAATAATAAGTAATAGTATAGCATTTATCACAAAATAACATATAACGAGTAAGGCTTTTTAAGCCCTGCGTGACAGGTGGCATTCAAAGTACAGTGAATGTGTTCAGTTCTCTAAAACTTAGTATTTCTAAATCTTAGTAAGACAGCTGTGAGGTGCATAGCATCTCTGTTTTATAGGCGAGGAGACAGCCCAGAGCTGTGAGGTAGCGGAAAGCATGGCTGAGGGGACACTTTGTGTCTGCTCACACTGCACACCGTTGGGATGCAGAGCCTTCTGCAGACAGATGTCCCCTGAGGGACCCTAGCCTCGATCCAGTCTCCACACTAGGTCAGATGTGCAGAGGCCCCTCTCTTTTTGTCCCAGATGTGTGAGGCTGGCAGTGGTTGCCTCTGCACCGCTTCATCTGTTTGATATGCCTTGCCTTGCCGCAGCCCTGCGCCCCCTATGGATTTTGTTTGTTTTTTCTTTGTTGGTTTTACCTTCTGGACTTGACCCCAGGCTTTGTACTAGACAAGTGATATATGGGTGAGCTGCATCTTCAGCCCTAGGCTTCATTTCTGTCCTGTTTTATTCCCAAAAGGAGCTCAATATAGTTAACAAAGATACCTGTAATACTCTAAAAAAAAAAAAAAAAAAAAAAAACTGGGGGAGACAGAGTCCTTGAAGGGCCTATGTGTTGGCCAGGTGTCACTTGCAGGTTACTCCAATATCAGCTGTACAGTGTGTCTTTGGGATGACTCTCCCAGTGGCCTCAGAGGGGACAGTGGATAGAAGAGACAAACTAGAATTGGTCCATTTGAGATCTACAGTTAATAAAAGAGCAATGATGCAAATAGACTCATTGGTGTTTATAAAAACTCACAGAGGTTGGTAAGACCAAGGTAGCAAAATGCTGGTGTGGGGAACAGGGAGAACACTCTTCTTGCGATCTTGCTTTCCATCCCAGACCAGCAATGCAGCCCGAGCACCCCTCACTTGCAGGGCACTCTCAAGCTCAGTTTAAGGCCCCTCTGCCCTCTCATTGCTCTCTCTAACGCTTAGTGCATCTCTGGGGGTCTCCTAGCAGGAATCTCCATTGCCCGTGTTCTTACAAAGCACAAAGTGAGCGAGCGTGGATGACTTACACTGTGTCCTTTCTCCTTCATTTTACTCAGGGTTTCTATTCCTGCACAAACATCATGACCAAGAAGCAAGTTGGGGAGGAAAGGGTTTATTCAGCTTACACTTCCACATTGCTGTTCATCACCAAGGGAAGTCAGGACAGGAACTCAAGCAGGTCAGGAAGCAGGAGCTGATGCAGAGGCCATGGAGGGATGTTACTTACTGGCTTGCTTCCCCTGGCTTGCTCTGCTTGCTTTCTTATAGAACCCAAGACTACCAGCTTATGGACGGTACCACCCACAATGGGCCCTCCCACCCTTGATCACTAATTGAGAAAATGCTTTACAGCTGGATCTCATGGAGGCATTTCCTTTCTCTGTGATAACTCCAGCTTGTGTCAAGTTGACACACAAAACAGCCAGTACACCCTTCTTTCTCTTTTCACACTGAGATGTGTATACACATCAATGTGCAGATCTAGGAATGTGTACTTATTTGTCCGGCAAGTATTTAGTGAGGACTAAGTTCGTGGGGGTGCTGGGCCCTGTGAGCATGAAGGAGCATGGAAAATGAGTCCTCCTCTTACAGCTCACACCCAGGAATCGGGGCTGACCTAGGAAGAGACTCTGCAAATAGACTCTTAGCTTGAGATCAGGGCTGACTGAGGTAAATAGAGACTGAGTAAGTACTGAAATAGGCAGGCCCTAGGCTGTGAGTTCTGCAGGGCTCCGAGGAAGAGTGCCAGTGCCAGCCACCAGAGGAACAAGTCCTGAAGACCGAGTCTTCAAGGCCACCTTGGAGTTAGCCTGGCAAGCTGTAGAATAAGTAGAAGGGGCTTTCTAGGCAGGGGACTGGTGACTGGTGTAAGTAAAAGGACTGCAGGGAGAGAGAGAGAGAGAGAGAAGAGAGAGAGAGAGAGAGAGAGAGAGAGAGAGAGAGAGAGAGAGAGAGAGAGAATATCCTTTCATGATGCTAGGTTAAGGTTACCTGTATGGTAGATTTGCCGACTCCTGGTGAGTCGCTCTCTCTCTCTTTTTTTTTTTTTTGGTTTTTCGAGACAGGGTTTCTCTGTGTAGCCCTGGCTGTCCTGGAACTCACTCTGTAGACCAGGCTGGCCTCGAACTCAGAAATCCGCCTGCCTCTGCCTCCCAAGTGCTGGGATTAAAGGCGTGCACCACCACCGCCCGGCCGAGTCTCTCTTTTTTTAATTTTACTTTTGTGTGTAGGAGTGTTTGCCTACATATATGGGTACCACATGTATGCCTGGTGCCTGAGGGGTCAGGAGAGGGCATCAGATCCCTTGGATCCCCTGGAACTGGAATTAGAGATGGTTGTGAGCCTCCACGTGAGTGCTGAGAACTGTACCCTGATCTGTAAGAGCAACAAGTGCTCTTAACTGCGGAGCCAGCTCGTCTCTTGGCCCCGTTGGTGACTCTCTTGAGTTGCCTTCACTTGATCGACACGCTCGCTTGATCGACACGCGGTATGAAGTCATAAGAGTTTGAAGGATGGGCTTTCGTCCTGAAACTTCGTGTGGGCCTTAGCTCTCCTGGTACCGTACGCCTCTTTTCTCATCGTCCCTCATGGTGCCCCTCTGCCCTGTGGATCACCTAGTGGGTGGAGGTGCTCAGTGCTTCCATCGGGAACAGCTCTAAGTGAGATGTTGTTCCTAACTCTGACACCCCTCCCCCTTCTGCTGCAGGGAAACACGGGTGTGCTCCTGGGCTTGCTCCTGGTGTCCTTCGTCATCCTCGTGGCCCTCATCACCGTGCTGTCTGGCATTGGCGTCGCAGAGCATGGCGGGATAGGCAGTGGCGGCGTCTACTCCATGATCTCCTCGGTGCTTGGTGGACAGATGGGAGGCACTGTAGGGCTGCTGTATGTATTTGGACAGGTGAGACCGTAGCACAAACCAACTTCTTACCTGTTCATTTGCTGTTGTCTCTCTTCCCTTCCTCATTTGACAGGGGTGGGGGTGGGGTAAAAACAAGGGCCCCACTTGACAGAGGTCCACACTGGGCTCTGAGGGGGAGGTTGCACCACCAAGCCTGAACTCCAGAGCTTCTGTTTCCTCCCACCTCTGCTTCATGACTTCCTATGGTGACCAGGGCCTGAGTCTGACAGCTTTTCTTGGAGAGGTGTGCATGGCAGGCGGCCCTCCACACTTTGCACTCTGGATGGGCACTGTGCCTCTGCCAGAGGGCTCTACTATGGAGGTGAGGCTCTGGCAGGTCTGATGACTTGGGTGGCCTTAAGCAGACTACAGGCCCCCGTGTGGATACTTAGACTGAGGCGCCATCCAATGAGAAGCCCACATTGCGGTGGACAAAGCCAGGAAGAAAACCAGCAGAGGAGGAGAAATTCTAAGGCTCATCTAAAGTTTATTTAGCCGAAATACAGGGATGGGATTTGATGCTGGGAAAGGCAACATTCGAACATTAAGAAGTAGCTTTTGTAAGTGTGGCTTGGACCAAAAAGGGTCTTATGGAAAAATAAAGGCCAGTGGGTGGTTGAAAAGCAATTAGTAAAGAAAAAAAGGGGGGTGGCTTTGTTACTTTTCATTTTAGGCGGGCAGCAGGGGCTCAGGATCAGCATAAACACATCATACTCTAACAGCGCAGAGCTGAGGACATGAGTGTGTGATGAATGTGTGTGTGTGAGTGTGCATTGTGTGTGAGTGTGAGGGTATGCATGAGTATGTGATGAATGTGTGTGTGTGAGTTTGTGGTGAATGTGTGTGTATGAGTGTGTGTATGTGAGTGTGCATGAGTGTTGGGTGTATGTATGCATATGAGTGTGTGTGTTTGTGTGAGGGTATACATGAGTGTGGGTGTGTATGCATGTGTGAGGGTGTGCATGAGTGTGTGAGTATGGGTATGTGTGCGTAAGTGTGTGCATTAGTGTGTGAGTGGGTGTGTGTATGAGTGTGTGCGTGTGTGAGGATGTGCATGCTGTGTGTAGGACAGGCATCTCACTAATTGCTCGGAAAAAGGCAGTTGATTTTTGTTTTGTGTTGTTTTTTTGGAGACAGGGTTTGTCTATATCCCTGGCTGTCCTGGAACTCACTCTGTAGACCAGGCTGGCCTTGAACTCAGAGATCTGCCTGCCTCTGCCTCCCATGTGTTGGGACTAAAGGTGTGTGCCACCACAGCCCAGCAAGGCAGTTATTTTTACTGGAGAAAGATTTGGAAGTATGGTATGTATTGAACATCTGTAAGTTAAAGACTCAAAATCCATAATGCTCCAAAAATCCAAAACTTTTGAGCATTGATCATACTCACAGTTTTCAGATTTTGAGGCTGTATGTGGTGGTCCATGCTTCTAATCCTAGCATCTGGGAGGTTAAAGCAGGAGGGTTGTGACCACCAGATCAGCCTGGCAAAATAGTAAGATCTATCTCTAAAAAAGAAAACCACACGAAACACAAAACAACAGAAAAACCCTACCCAACCCAACCCAACCCAACCCAGCACAACCCAAACTAACTCAGCCCAACCCAACCCAACCCAACCCAACCCAACCCAACCCAACCCAACCCAACCCAGCACAACCCAAACTAACTCAGCCCAACCCAACCCAACTCAACCCAACCCAACCCAACCCAACCCAACCCAACCAACGCAACCCAATCCAGCCCAACCCAACCCAGCACAACCCAAAGTAACTCAGCCCAACCCAACTTAACCCAACCCAATCCAGCCCAACCCAGCCCAACTCAATTAACCCAACCCAACCAACCAAACCAAACCAACCCAGTTCAGCTCAGCTCAACCCAAGTCAACCAAACAAACCCAACCTAACCCAATCTAGCCTAACCCAACCCAATACAACCCAACCCAATCCAGCCCAGACCAACCAAACCCTGCCCAACCCAACCCAACCAAACCAAACCCAAGCAAGGCAAGCCAAATCTCAAACAAACAACAAAATCCACCAACTTTCAGAGTTTGGAACCTTTTTGAAGCTAGATTTTCACATGAGGAAAAATGCTTAATCAATGCAAATTTTATAAGATCCAAAAGAATATGATACATCCATTGCCCCTGTGGCAGCCATTTTCAGATGGCTTGCAGTCATCACCAGCCTGCTTTGCCACCCTATGGGTTGTTGGGAGATGCTTTCCTGCTCTATTCTGTAGCCACAGTGGCTGCAGGCTGGTTATGTGGACAGCTTCACTTTCCACATTCTCTGGACAGATGAGGACAAGGGCTCACGCCAAGGTGTTCATCCCAAGTGAGGGGAGGATGCTATGTCTCTCAGCTATTGTTAGCTGGACTGACTGGAAGGAAGTCTTCACAAAGTTTGCCAACATAGGCAGCCATGGCTGAGACGTTTCAGGAACTGAGCCTCTGTCAGCAGTCCCTGTAGTCAGTGCTGGTGGGTCCTTGACTGTCTGAGCTCCTTTGGATAGAGTCTCTTGCCAGGGACAATGTAAGAACCCTGTGGTTCTTACATTGGTTTCTGGGTTCTATCTGCTCCATCTTTGCTGAGTGGAAGGATGCCGGCACACATTTCCTTGAGATGCTGGCCTGCAGCTTCCGTGAGATGCCTTTGTCTGTTTTTTGGTGTGGTGTTAACACTGCTATAAGGACTTACTTGGTGGGGAAGAGTGTTCCCCTCTCTTCTAGTCTTTGGAAATGTGTATAAAGGGTTAGTGTTAACTACAAATACTAAGTAGAACACATCAGTGGCACCATCTGGTGTTGGGTTTCTTGGTCGTATTTGTTTAAAATGTCTGATTTATTAGCATACTCTCTCACTGCACAGGTGTGTCCTGATTTCCTGTTTTGTGTAACGTTGGAAGGTTGTGTCTTTCTCCATGATTATCCGCTTTATCTAGCTCTCTGGAGTATGGATATATTCATTGTTTCCCTCTTCCCTTTATTCCTCTAAGTCTGGCAGTAGTAACACCTTTCTCATTCCTCACTTCAGTCATTTGAGTTCACCTCTCTTCTTGACCGATTAAGATAGATTTATCCACAACTTTTATTTAGTCTTTATAGCGAAATATTAGGCTTTCTTCTTTTTTTTAAATACATAATTTATTTTTATTTTATGTTCACTGGTGTTTTGCCTGTATGTGTGTTTTTCAGATGTCAGTAGCCTTGGAACTGGAGTTACAGTCAGGTTTGAATTGGCATGTGGGTGCTGGGAACGGAACCAGCCAGTGCTCTTAGCTGTTGAGCCAGCTCTCCAGCCCCATATGATTTTCATTGTGATGTTTTCCTGTGAAATTTGTTTTTCTCACTTCTTCCCCTCCCCCATCTCCCTGCTCCCTTCCCGTGGCCTTCTACCTCTGTAGTCTTCTTTCTCAGTTCATGTCACATAGCAAACACCAATTTTTTTTTTTTTTTGAGGCAGGGTCTCACTATGTAGCCCTGGCTGGCTTAGAACTCACTGTGCAGACCATGCTGGTCTTGAACTTACAGAGATATGTCTGTCTCTATCTCCTGAGTTCTGGAATTAAAGGTGTGGGCCATCATGCCTGGGTATCCTTTATGTTTAATTATGTGCATGTGTTGATGTTGGTGGGGATTGAGCACATGAGAGCAGGACCCATGGAGGCCAGCAGAGGGCGTCGGGTTTCTGGAGCTGGAGTTAATACATTGTTGGAGTCCTCTGTAATGTATAATGTATACTATTAACCACTGAGCTATCTCCAGCCCCTGTATTTTAAAACCACTCTTATTAGTCCTTTGAGCATTTCATTCAGTGTGTTTTGATCATATTCAAACACACCCTAACTCTTCCCAGATTCAACCGTTTCCTTACCCACTCAACTTCATGTCTTTTTTCCCCTGTAACTTAGGCTAACCTTGAACTCATAGTAAGCCTCCTGCCTCAGCCTCTCACATGCTAGAATTTCAGGCCTAAAACCTCTAATGCCTGATTAGAATCATGACTTTAAAATCTTTCTGTGTAGGCTTGAGAGACGTCTTAGCCGTCAAGAAAGAACATTGTCTGCTTTCCCAAAAGACCTGGATTTGATTCCCAGAACCCACAGGGTGGTCAGGGGATCTGATTCCCTTCCGCTTTTGGCCTGTATGGGCACCAATTACCCAAGTGGTGCCCAGAAATACATGCAAGGAAAGCACCTACCCACATAAAATAAAAATTAATAAAATCAATAAAAAACCCCACATGAAACAACAAAAACTTAAAAGAAAATCTGCTATGTCTTCTACACACCTCCTATATATACATATGCCTTTATACAAACCACATTGCCTCAGTTCTGAGGCCTGACTAGCTGACTTACCCTATGGGACCAGACCATACCTAGAAACCCTCCTATGTCCCTGTTCCACTCACCCATGTTCATCTGAGGGGCCTCTTTGGACTACTTACTTGGATGTGGAAGTGTTGACTATGCAAAAACATTTATCATGGCTAATGTGCTCCGTGCTGGATTCCCTACCCAACAGTAGAGGAGCAGAAAGCTTCTCGAGACCAGATAGAAGCTAGAGCTTTTCCTGTGAGAGTGAGCAATCCACATTGAATGCCTACTGCAGCCGAGATTAGAATTTGAGCCTGACAGAGGGTGTGGAGGGGGGGAGCACCCAGCTTCTGCTCAGGTCTCCTGAACATCTGATTTGTTCAAAACAAGTACCCTGGGCTGGATGTTCTATCATAAGAAAACAGCCTCTTCTTCTCTTTAAAATGGTGACCATCCCACCTTATGTGTCAGGGAGTTCCAGACATTTCTGTGTTGAGAATGGTAAAGAAAGAGGAAAGTCCCTTATTATAAATGTCAGAAGGTAATGCAAACATTCTTCAATCATAGTTATCTCTGGAAATGTTTACAGAAACTCAGCAATGCTTTCCAAGGAAGAGCAACTTCCCAGCCTGGATGCCTTAGGACAGCTGGCTTGCTCCAGGAAGGCCTGGGGCTCAGACCCGCCCTGTGTCAGCGGTCTCAAGCCGGATGTAGGCTAAGGCTTTGAGTTCAGAGCTGGAAGGGAATATACTTCCTGCATAAGGGGGCTCATGCACAGGTTGCATTTTTCTCTGAGATGGGCTCACTCTGTAACTGGATACAAGGTACTTTTAACAGTATACCCGAAATGTACCCAGACATTGCAGTTCCGTGGAGATGGGTGTGTCTACCTGTTAGAAATGCAAAGGCAATACCTAATCTCTGATGGAGGTGGTGGCTCTTCCCTCTCCACTCGGGAATTTACTGTATCATTTAGTCTAACTGAATGTTGCCAAGTAATCCGAGCTGCTCTTGAACTCACAATCCTCCTGTCTCTACCTTCTTACTGCTGGGCTTTTAGACAAGTGCCCTCATCCCTAACTTGATAGTTAACCTTGACTATTAACTTGGTTGGATACAGAGGAAGTAAAGCCCTCTTCTTGCTGTGTCCATGAGGGTGAGCAAGAGAGGGACCAAGAGCTGCCTTGGCTGTGGGTACCACAGACTAGTAAGCCGAGGGTCAGATTTCAGAGGAAGTCAGAGTGGATGATGAAGTCTTCCTCAGCAGGTGCATGAATGCTGCACCACTGCCCAGCAGACTCCAGCTTTGGCAGCCTTTCAATGCAGACCCACTCCGGTGACCTCCAGGGAGCTGCCAGACCCTTGACTTTAGACTGGTGCTGCATCTTTGACCCTCTTGTTCTGAGACTTTCTTCAGCTTAGACTTAGCTGCCATTCATTTGTCTGGTTTCCCAGCTTGTAACTGACCATCACAGGACTACCTAGCTTCTGACTGTGCTAGCCAACCCAATACATCCGTTTTGTAATTGCATATGCATCTACTGGTTCTGTTCCTCTACAGAACCCTGGCTGGGGGAGAGTCCTTGTGCTTTTCTGTGATCACCTAGGGACTCAGACTTCCCCCTTCCTAAGCAGCAAGAGGATGTGGTTGACAATGTGTCGTGTTGTTAGTGCTGGCCAAGTCCACAGGGCTTCTCCCAGCCAGATTTATCTGCATTAAAGTGAGAGACAGTACAGTAGTGATGTAGGCCACAGACACTGAAAGTCAGTGTGTCATATAGTATTCACCGAGTGTGTGTGTCGTGCTTTGCAAATGCAGGATATTGAAGACATGACACAAATACTAAGTTTTTAAGCTTGTATTTGTGACGTCTGCACCTGCATGATTATGTGTTCACCTGTGTATAGGTGTATGTGTGTGTGCATGTATGTGAAAGCCTAAAGTTGACACTGGTCTTTTCTTCAGTTACTCTGTATTTATTGAGGCAGGAGCTTCTTGCTGGATTCAGAATTCGCTGATTCTGGGTGGGAATCCCTGGAGATCCCCTTTGTGTGCCTCCTGATGGAGTGCTGGGATTACCGTTGGCTACCACACCCGGCCAGCATCTTCCTCAGGCTCTGAACATTATTAGCCTTCTCCCTGTGCAGCCTTGTGCTTCATCCACTGAGCCAGCGTCCCAGCCCAAATATGTTGTTTTTAAAGGGTGTTTGTATTCTTGCTGCAGGAGACAAATTTATAACCATGAAACAATAGTAGAATCTGGACCCCTGTAATCATATAGCCCAGCCGGTAAGCGGAATGCTTACTGAGAGACTGGGGGTAAGAACAGGTTCATGGAAAAGAAAGAACTTGAATAAACCTGAACTGCATTTGTTCCTGGGATAATGACAAGGACAGGGCTGCACTGACCAGCAGAGCCTGGGGCTCAGGGAGGTGACCAAGCTGAGGGAAGGTGACCGATTTCAATTTTGATGATTGTGCAAAGTGATGCTCCTGCCATTAAAGTTCTATTACATTTGTTTATTGTGCCTTTGTGTGTGCATGCATGTGTGGAGTGTGTGTGTGTGTGTGTGTGCATGTATGTGTGTGGTATGTGTGTGTGTGTGCATGTATGTGTGGAGTTTGTATGTGTGCATTTATGTGTGTGGTGTGTATATGCAGGTATGTGTGGAGTGTGTGTGTGT